TATATAGAAGTCCCTCGCACTCGAGCTCAAGTTCAGTCAATATTTTATTGACCTCTGTGGTGTCACAACATGGCGACGTTTCTGAACCCATTTGGTCCCTTCATCAGGCAAACATCGCCATGTTGTGACACCACAGAGGTCAATAAAATATTGACTGAACTTGAGCTGGAGTGGGAGGGACTTCGTCATATTGGTACTGATTTGCGGAGGCATCCGTGGTCGCTTGGCACCCACCCGATACTTGAGGGGTATTATCCGGTCAGGTGCGAGATGGGTTTCTTTTGATTATTGATTCCTATTGTGTCACAATATTCAACAGTATCATTTTTCAAAAAATGTATACCTTTTATCATTAATAAGTGGTCTTCGGGCTTCAGTTATTTGCTGCGCCAAGGCTGACATGATGCCATTAGTCTGCTGCAGACAAAAATAAAATTAACTGCAATTTTTGACTTTTACATTCTACTTGATTGCTATGCAATAGTTCCATTAATCTGTATTTCTCTATTATGTACTCTATTATGTGCACAGATATGTAGATTCTCCCTCTAGGGACCGTCTTAGTCTGGCAAGGTCAGTTAAGACCCTTAATGATCAACCGACCCTTACTGACCAAAGACACAGAGGTTGCAGTCGGGTCAGACACTCCTAGGAGCATACTGAGAGCTTCTAAAGTTGGAAGCTCTAGATTTTTTGCACAAAGATTCATTTGAAAAACCGGGCTCAGTCTCCCCTCTTCCCACGTAAAAGAGCCAAAGAGGCATTAAACCAAGTGAGCATTATCCTTAAGCCGCAAGAGTAGCTGAATCTCTGGAGGCCCCGCTGTTTAAAAGATCAAGCAGAAGACATCTGCCTGTGTATTGGCAACCTAAGGCTCAAAAGTGTTGAGTTTAAAGTCGGCAGTATACATTTTTTGCCCACATACCCAACAATTTTCTAAAATGGAACGGTCTTCTGTTCTGTGCTTGTTTTGGATACAAACCTCTGTATGGAATATATTCCTTGATAATTTAAGGCTATATTTGGACTATACACCAGCGGCACTGGAGGTGCATCTGGCTGATAAGTGCGTATCAACTAGACATGTGCGATTCCTTTCGACGTGTCCAAATTCAGACATTTGGACACGTCCGAATTTCAGAATCCCAATGCATCCGAATGTGTCCGAATCCGAATTCCCGTTTCCGAATTTGCTTCCCATCCGAATTTCGTTCAAAAACTAAACTGAACCGGACATGTGACTTTTCTGGCTAATCAGATGTGTTTTTGGGTTTGATGCGTCCGAATGGGTCTGCACACGAATTTTCGTTACGGCAACATGGGAGCCATATAGCATATGGCTCCCATGGTGCCGTAAAGAAAATTTGTGTAGAGTATATACATATGATACTAAAGGTGAGGTTCCTAGACCCGAAATGGCATTCGGGATCCGAATTTCTGAATGCCATTGGGGTCTGGGAGCCTCAGCTTTAGTAATATATGTATATGGCTCCCACACCCAAATGGCATCCGGGATCCGAATTTTTGAGTTGCATTTGGGTCTGGGAGCCATTTACATATATTACTAAAGCTGAGGCTCCCAGATCCGAATGGGATTCAGGAGCTCCCCAATGCAATTTGGAAATTAGGATCCCGAATGCCATTCGGGTCTGGGAGCCTCCGCTTTAGTATTAATATCTGTGTATGGTTTTCTGTGGTATTTGCAACGACTATTCGTAAACTCATCCGAAACTAACGAAAATTCAGATTTCATCCGAAACCCGAACCGAATTGGATTTCGGATGTGAATTCCAAAATAACGAAATAATCGAACCGAATTTTTCTGCAGCTTACATGTTTAGTATCAGACAGATGCACGGCTTTGCCCACTGTCCTGTAATGAGGAATAATCTTATTTTTGGGTTGTCATAGAAGAATTGTAAAGACCTTCTGCTTTATTAGGGCTGTACTGTGCTATGCACTGAATTGGTTGGAAGGCTATTTGGTTCCTTTAGTCCCTTTTTTCCTTAACCTGTATAGTTATACAGTCCCATTGGGTCCCGAACCCTACTCCATACACTACACTGATGATGGCCAAAAAGCCTGAAGCAGCTCCATGCAGTTTGGAATAAATGCCTCTATAATATTAGGCTGTATTTGCACTATACACCGGCGGTTCTGGATGTTCATCTCGCCAGTGCGGAGTAAAGAGATGATTTGCTTGGCTCCACCCACTGTACTGAAATGAGGGCTAATCCTCTAATTTTTGGGATATGTGATGAACGAGACGCGTGAATACCTTTTGTTCTAAAAAGGCTTTACAGTGCTAGATGCAATCAGTGCTTGGTGAAGTGTTTCCTTGCATCAGATATGATTTGGTTAGCTGTATTTGCAACAAGCAGCGAGTCCACATTCTCGAATGAAAGTCCGTTTATCCGGTTTACATTATCGGAGGATAAGACTTTCTTTTTTATCCTTCTCCCAAACGCCCTTGAAAGCAATTTCATCCAGCCTGTAGCATCATATGCCGGTGTAACCGTATCTTTCCAGAGCTCTCAGCCTCTGTGTGATACGCTGTGATGATTCCCCCCTCCCCCCCATACACACACATTCCATCTGGCAGGCGCTACAATGGAAGTAAGCCATGTGGTCTGTGTTTTTTTTATGCGGTCACAGATGACTGCATCTTCAGGCCATCTCCAAGTTTATTGTGGAGGGCAAGTCAGCCCTGAAGTTTATAAACATTGAAAAAAGAATGACGGAAGAAAAAGAACAAGTGGTCCATCATATTTAACCCTTTGTAATGTATTTTAACCGTTTTGTTTGAGTATAGATCAAACTTTTTCCCAAACATGACTCAATTCAATTATTGTTCACTGACTCACTACCTATGCTGGAAGTCTGTTAGAAGGATTAACTACCTGTTCTTGATCTTAGCTTCGTATTGAAAATCCTGCCCTCCTAAACCTTATTCCCACCCTTCATGTATTTAAAGTCCCTCCTTCCCCTTCTTTCCACAAGACTGCACATATTAGGTTCTTGCAGTCTTGAGTATTCCTCACACCTTTTACTACAGTGGTGAAAGGAGGACCTGCTTCCGCTTGCTGGAGATCCCTCTAGTGATAACTAAAGGTCTATGTAGAGGAATCAGGACCTCCTTCCTCCTGCTGGGGATCCTTCTAATGATAACTAAAGATCTATATAGAGGAATCAGGACCTCCTTCCTCCTGCTGGTGATCCCTCTAGTGATAACTATTGGTCTATATAGAGGAATCAGGACCTCCTTCCTCCTGCTGGGGATCCCTCTAGTGATAATAAAGATCTATATAGAGGAATCAGGACTTACTTTCACCTGCTGGTGATCCCTTTAGTGATAGCTAAAGATCTATTTAGTGGAGTCAGGACATCTTTCCTCCTGCTGGTGATCCCTCTAGTGATAACTAAAGATCTATATAGAGGAATCAGGACATTCTTCCTCCTGCTGGAGATCCCTCTAGTGATAATAAAGATCTATATAGAGGAATCAGGACATTCTTCCTCCTGCTGGAGATCCCTTCAGTGAAAACTAAAGATCTATACAGGAGAATTAAGACCTCTTTCCTCCTGCTGGAGATCCCGCTAGTGATAACTAAATAACTATTTAGAGGACTCAGGTCCTCCTGCTGTTGGTCCCTCTAGTGATGCACTTCAGAATTCTCTTTGCTTTCCACACTGCCTGGCCATACTGTTGTTTTTTATATAGCCTCCTAAAGTATATATAAACCCGAGGATAGACATTTAATTTAAATTACAAGTCTTTACATGTGATGGCTGCGTTCGTTTCCTATTTTTAGGTATTTTGTTTTACCTGCTGATCCTGTCAATATCGTACTTTATGTCCTATGATGACAACTCTTACTGTTTTTGTTGGGGTTTTTGCACATATTGAACAGGTATAACAAAACACTTTTAATGGCATGTTTAACAGACCAAAGGGTAGAAAATAAAAGAAATACATTTTTAAGGCTTGCATACACTTTATATCCATAGACACTGTGCAGCTTATGTAGCGCAGTCTGTGAAGGATAAATGGGCAGTCATGTGATGGGGGTAGGAGGGTTGTGTGCTACTCTTCCTGTATTTAGAATTTGGAGTGGTTCAGGAGGCTCATGTGAAGATGTCAGAGGGGTTTTTCTTATACCATATGTATGATTTTACACCTTGTGGTGCCTGCTATCTGGCAATTATCTCACAACATGATGTATTGAATACCATCACAAGTTTCGTATAAAGCAATCTTTCTTTGCCCGTGTAGGTCTAAGATAAGGTTTGCTGGGCCACAGGCATACTTAGGATCTTGTACCCAGGGAAAATCTATATTACAATAAATATATTTGTGTAGCAAGTCTTGTGATTTTCTGGCCTGGGAGAACTGATAATATGCAACCAAAAGCAGCTAATTGAAGCAGAATGGAGCAGGATGGGTGAAGTATTACAAACTTTGGCATCTCTAGGATCTTTGTGGCACATAAAACATCCAACATCTGTTGGTCTTTGAGCTGAAAAATTGGCAGCCAATCGTTTCGGTAAATAATACTTTTATATACCCACCACTTTGTAAATTTGATCAGCTCTTGGGGTGCACATCTGCTGCAAGGAGGTTTGTTTAATGGAGCAAACTCTTCATGTTTTTGAGGCTACGCGCAGGATCTATGTCCTGTTTAGTTACTGATCCAGCAAATGTAGGGCAGATTAATTTTTTAGCAATCTCCACCATAGTTCAGTCTTCTGGTCTGTTAGGCCAAAGTTTGTTCCACTGCTGTTCTCTTATCTCCAAGTTCAGAGTTGAGTTTTATTAATTTCCTTTGTTGTATGGTGACACTGGTCAAAGGCTACCAGTGACCCCCGGTGGTAAGGACCATAGCTGCTTTCAGGGATCATTGTATAAATTCCCCTTCGGTTATCCTTTCACTCTGTCATATTGTTCATGCCAGATCCAGAGTTCCTATAAATAACTTGGTCTTTACATTTTTGTGTTGCAGATGGTTTAGTAGACTGCATGGATCCAGACTGCTGCCTGCAACAGAACTGTCACAGCAGCTCCCTGTGCCTGGGCTCTCCGGACCCACTGGACATCATCCAAGAGACTCAAGCTCCGGTGTCCCAGCAGAACCTGCAGTCTTTCTATCACCGAATCAAGTTCTTAGTTGGCCGAGACAGCACTCACTTCATTCCTGGGGATAATCCTTTCGAAGGAGGGTGAGTTAATGATTAGCTGTCTGTAATAATTTTGTGTGGTCAGAGCCATTCATGTAACATGGCCTAGTGAGAATCCTGATTCAAATGGCGCCCTCTGGTGGCTGGGTGTATGTAGCTCTCAGCTTGCCCTTTGCTCCTGTGGACATGGCACGTCTTGTTCACGTCTTGAACATACTTTTTATAGCCTTCACTGCAAAGTATTAGGGTATTGGGTTATATTCAGCATTTTAATGGCCATACCAATATATGAGGCTGTGGGGCTAGTGTATTATTGAAGGGCAAAGAATGTATGTATTTTTTTTATTGCATCCTGGTGTCTTTGTTTTATTGTTTGGTGTATGCTGTCCTTAATAATACAAACGCTAAAACTTACTGACCTAGACAGTGGTGGTATAGAAATAAGGAAATACATGTTTACAGTGTGGACAAAGACATGAAGAGTGCAGCACAGTTGGACGTTACTGGATAGATTCTCCTGAAAAATGAAAATGTAGAATTAGTTCATATTTGACGTTTGAAAACATTGTAGTGTTTGCATCCATATGCCTCAACTATAGATCCAGCTCAGTGCTAGGCTAAGCCCTAACCCCATAGTTCTCCTTTAAGGATTGCAAAGTGTGCTTGCAATTCGATCTCAAAACCTATGCAGAGCCAAGGTGCTGAGCCAAGCGCAAGGCAGTGGGTTAAGAATCTTGGAAAATGTACACTAAACTCTCTTGTCATGCTTGCAAGGAAGGAAATTGGATTAGGAAGCCATGGCTGTCTACTGATGGAAGGAGAAGCTTATTAATACCCTTGAATTAGGAGAGTGCTGTGTTAGCAACTATGTATGTTCCCAGACAGATTTTATTTTTTAAAGAATGTACGTATCTATAATACAAATTAGATTGTAAGCCCTCAGGGGCAGGGCCCTCCTTACCATCTCGTCTTTAATTGCATTGTAATTGCAATGTCTTCCTTATATTGCGCTGCGCAAACTGTTGGCGCTATATAAATCCTGAATAATATTAATGTACTTTTATGGAGCGTATGTAAATATGTGGATATGACTTCATATACATCAGCCTCTTATTATGCACTAAAATGGAGCATTAAGTCAGGGAGAGGAAGGGGCAGTATTTGGGGCAGATTTATATCCTACATGCATAGATGCCAACTGTCCCGCACCCGGGTGACACCAAAATGACTGACATCCCCTCTGAAAAGTCGGACACTCAGTCATGGAACGAGAGCTCGACAGCTGCAGGAGAGAGGAAGGGACCCGGCGGCATACCTTATCCCGCCAGGTGAACGTCCCCTCCTCTCTCTTCTGGTGTCCATAACCAAGATGGCTGCGCATGCGCGATGACGTCTCGGCGGAGGCCCCTGTTTGCCTGCATCTTGAACCTCAGTCCCGATGAACATGGGCCATGTCCCTGGACCACAGTGCCCCCCGGATTGGAGTTACTGTGCACGTGCAGTAACTCAATAAGGCATTCATTAAAATGATCACAGGCCTGCAGAAGATTGGTTCCTGCTTTATTAGGCAGCAAGTTTGGGAGGAATTGTTCTATCTACTGTATGGGCCGTTTCAGGGTTAACAGAAAAGCGGGGACCGGCACTGAAATGTTGGTAAGTATGTTACAAAAGTGGAAAAATAACTGATCTACTGGCAGGATCAATAGGTAACACAACTAGGTTACATGTGATTATTTTTACATTTTGCCCATGGTTCTACTTTAAGAATGGAGGGGGGGGGGGGGACACCATTTTGTTTCTTTTGTCTTCCACATGCTTTTCTGCATTCTGAGGAAAACTCAGGTCCTGTAAACGAGGCCATTAATGTGTAGTATTGGAGATGACATGTATGGTCCCCCTGCTGCCATCCAAGCGGCACCAGCTGTCAATCACCTTTGCATTACACAATGCTGATATTTAAAGCACGTTTAACCCCCTCTCTGCTGGACGGATGGGGAAAGGCAGCATTTATTCGCTGCGTTCATCGTCCCTCAAGGATCGGGTTTCCCCGTGGGCTTTATCAGGTAAGGAGATTTATATGCGGCTATGAAATAAATCCTGACGGTTTTATCAGCCATCCGTGATCTCAGACAAACCGAGACTGAAATATTAAACCCACAGCTAGGTGCACACAGATACATCTCCAGCTCTTATCTCCCAGATGTCCTTATGATGTCCGCTTATCTTCCATTGTGACCTGCTTCCTTGCTTACGCCCGCTCTTGTTTTCCACTCGTCCTTTGTTAAAGAGCCACTGTATATAGTTCATATCCTTTTCTTAAACCGGTTTATGTTAAAAGGGAAATCCACGCTAGACAAATATTGTCTTAATAGGCATGTGTGTTGTTACCTAAACCATGTTGTCTTTTGTTTAGTTTTTCTAGATCTGTGCAGTAATGCATCATGAAACAACTCCCGTGCTTTGTATCTGTGACTGGTCTTGTCTCCGCCCTTTCCTGTAATAAAGACCACTCACTGCTGCTCTCACTACTTGTGCAGGGTGACTGGTCTTGTCTCCGCCCCCTCCTGTAATAAAAACCACTCACTGCTGCTCTCTCCTTGTGCAGGGTGACTGGTCTTGTCTCCGCTCCCTCCTGTAATAAAGACCACTCACTGCTGCTAATCTTTTTATTAAAAGACTCAAGCAACGTTTATATAAAAAAGTAACAAAACATAACCATAATATTAACTGAACAGAAATCAAACACAAATATTCAGTACACCTCAATGTTATACATATATATACAGACAGGCAAAGCCTCATTGCTGCATAAACAGCCTCACGCTTAAAGATCCGCCAACTATTTACATCAAGCAGCAGAGAAGGCCTAAGAGCCACAACCCGTCGCCTATGCACGCAGCCATTTTTCAAAAAATCTTAAAGAACAAAAATCAAGGGTGATAAGAGACAGACAGCCACACACCCGGAGAGACTCCTGCAAGTCAGGGAGGCTGGATACCCCTCCACGCCTTCAACCAAGCCCCCTGCCTCCACTTGTCTCTCTCAAAAGTGGGGGGTGACTGGTCTTGTCTCAGTTCTGACAGTCCCCGCACTGAAAACCGTCCCACGCTCCACCAGTGAACTCTCAGAATTTTTTATATTTTTGACGACAACACTACATTGTTATTTTCTTTTTTTTCTTTTCACCATCTTTTTCTTATTTTATTTTTTGGTCAGTCAACAATTTTTCACTTCTCTTTGACAATCAAAACCTTATGAATCGGTCAAAAAAATATAGGCATAGTAAATCATCTATTTTGTCAGTCTTTATAGATGGACCCCAGACTTGTTAAAAATAGCAGGGCGGTGGGTGAAGTTCCTTAAGCTGGTCATACACTAGTAGAATTTTGTTTGATAAGATCTGGTTTTGGAACATTTGTTGGATTTTCTCATGGTGAATGGGCGATTGGCGATTATTTCGGACCATAGTGGTCAAAAAAAATTGAAGGAGCAGTATGGAAAAAATTTTCTTGGAGGAAGGAAATTTTAAAAGTGAATGGGGTTTTCATTCAGGAAACTGCATTCATGTCCAAAATCAAATGTTAAAATTAAACAAAAGTTTGAATGACATTTGTCAAGTCTCTGATGGCAATATCGAATGTTCTGATGAGATTTTTTGCAACGTCCATATAAAAATCTGTACAGCCAAGTTTAGTAGTAAGAGAGGTCTCAGTGTGGGCATCACCATTGTAGTAAAGGGTACTAGTAGTCTGAAGATCAGGGAGGATCCACAGGGGCGTCCTGAGGCCGGGTGTCAGCCGTATCGAAGGCCAGGTGACACCATCGGACACGCGCGTGCGCGATGACATCGCGGATTGCGCGACCATCTAATTGATGCCTGCCGGCGGCCATCTTTGTTATTGAACACCGGCAGAGAGAGGAGGGGGACGTTCACCCGGCGGGATGAGGTATGCCGCCGGGTCCCCTCTTCTCTCCTGACACTGTCAGTCTCACGATCCATGACCAAGTAATTTTGGTGTCACCCGGGTGAGGGCAGCACCCCCCTTGTGACGCCACTGAGGATGCAGAGCAGTGATACTGCAGAGTAGTTTAGTGTTTTCATCCTCCTTTTGCTATGTGGGTATATATTACCGCAGAAGGTCAGGTGACCCACCAGCATGTGCGCATTGTTTTTCAAATCTTTGCAGCTAGTTGCATATTATTTATTTTCTGTATTTATCCCATTGACTAAGTTTGCTCATCAAGGCATAAAGAGCCTCCAACAGACTCCACCTTTGCAGCATCATGTCTTCTCCAAAGCACTTGGAGGTCCTCTTTAATCATGTTAGGTGGCATGTTCTGCCCTCCCCGTACACATGTTGTGGGTGTTTAAAGTCTTGTATGGAATAAAGTAAATTGCTTTGTTGGAAAGTAGGCCGCATGGGCCTCGTAAGAGCTGAGCTTATTGGTGCTTCATCATCACAGCTAATATTTATTCGCAAACACCGAGGATTGTAATGGGATTGCAGCCGTGTTTACCGGGCTCGCCGTTTGCAGTGTGAAGTCCGCTCTGGCGTGTTATTGTTTTGTAATTAGGCTGGCTGAATATTTATGAACTATTTCAGGCAGTTGCCAAACATTAATTGATTCAAATGAGTTCCGCCTTCTCGCTTCAGGTTTTCAAGTGTGCAGACTGGAGAACCAGACAGAGGTAGTGAAATAGGCTGAGTAAAGGTGTCCATTCATATCTGATGCTGGTCGGATCTGATGAAAAGTATGCTGCCAGCGCTCCTCAATCTTCAGCAATAGGAACCAACTTTATTGACCATTGTTTAGCATGTCAAACAGCAAAGTATAAGCTCTCAGGACCACTAGGGGTCTATTCAAAAGGAAATAAGCTAATAAAGGGACCCCAAGTGGTTCAGAAGCATTACACATTGTTGTGGGACATGCCGAATGTCCATAAATTTCAGTTTTTATTTGCTGAAGATTAAAGCTGGCCAGCATGGATGGTGAAATCTCCCATGCCGGGTTATTGTATTCCGAAAGCCGCCACCTGCCAT